TATTTGCTTATACTTACAAAAAGAAACTCTGGAAGGAAGCCAATGAAAGTCATTACCTGTGTGTGGTGGTGAGAAGTGAAGGGAATTTGGAATAAACCAACCAAGATCAAGGGCACCAGGTCTGAGATTAAGAACAGAGTAATTGGGAGACTTCGAGTTTGTCCTGTTGCGGCCTTGCCTCCCCTTTATGGATGAAATAGAGGTGACAGAAAAAAATGCAATGAACTTGGGGGATGGGGACCACGAGCCCTTGAAACCCTGTTCGACTGTTTGAGGCCTAGCTGTTCTCCTATTGGGGTGCCTGTTTCCTCAGGGAGGGGTGGGGGTGGGGAAGGTGAGAAGGTGGGGGTGGGGCCGGGGTAGGGGTATGGGGATGTGGGGGTGGGGTGTTAGTTATCCTCAAGCTTTCTCTCCTCTCCTGCTAAGTCCCCTGAGCCGCTGTGTGAAGCTCATGTCTCCAAAGACACCTGGCAAAAGCCCTGCAAACAAAGTAGGCATCCGTCCTGGTGGTCAGAGACTTTGTCCACCCGGGCACCTTTGCTCGCTCTCCTCCCGGCTAAGGACAGGGGCTGCCTGCTCTCCGTCTAAGTGGGGATGCTGCTCGCAGGTAAGTCTCCTTCCCTCACGATTCCTCACTAATACACATTCAACCTTTCTATTATCCAAAACTTATTCAACGCACCAACATTGAGAGAATGGCACAATGAACCATCCGGAGTCAATGGGAAAACGAACTCCTGAGATTCAGTAAGGATTGGCATTTTGCCATATATATCTTCCCCTTTCTTCTTCTTTTCCTCTGCTTTTTAAAAAGCAAAGACCTGAGGTCCTATCATTGCGTCCCTAAATTCTTACACGTATATCTGAAAGTTTAGGACCTTTTCTTTTATCACTTTTAACACATTTCTCATTTAATTCCTTAGTAAATGCTAATACCCAGTTTATATTCAGATTTGCCACAAAATTAAATTACTTTAAAGCCACGGATAATTCCTGATCCAGAGTTGCAGATGAAAACGGGAGCTGGCACGAGCAATGCCAGCGCCCGGGAGTGAAAGGCTCCTTGGTAACAGCAAGTCATGGCAGCTCGTACTGAGTGCGTACCGTGTACCCATCTGGGCTGCGACCGGAAGAGACTGCATTAGCATTTTGTGTGCCTTTCACAGCACGGAGTGTAATGCCTGCAGAGTAGACGATCCACCAGTTGTGATTTCAATTGATAATCATATCTCCTTGGTATTAGAAGCTTCTTCACCGTCAAGGAGTGCCATCCCTGTTTAATGCAGTCATTTAGTGAATATCATTATCCCCGTTTTATAGGTGGGGGAAGTGAGGGTCAGACTGTCTAAGTTCTCTTCGACACATCTGCAGTAGAGAAGCTGGGTTTCAGCTCAGGTGGGTTTGACTGCACTCTGAGTGATCACCAGTCTTCTGCTAATCGCCAAGGTACCCTGATAGTAAAGCCCCAAATCCTGGGTAGAGGCAAAGGGAGGGTAAGTGAGGAGAGTGGACGGAGGCATGGGTAGAAGGAGAAAGGAAAAACGAACAAAGAAAAAGAAAGGAAACCAGGGGATTACGGTGTCATGGAAGTAAAATCAGCAGCTATTGGATGTAGGGCTTTTGCGGACAGTAGACGCGAAAGGTGTGTGCAGAATGAATGAGAAGCCTTTGGAGCCCCAGCTCTCAGGCGCTGGGGTCTAGATGTGGGTTTGTAGACAGCGCCATGTCCTCAGCACTGGCCCAGGACTCTGGCACATATTAGGGGCTCAGATATCTGTTGAATGAATGACAAGGCTTGAGTGAATGTGTGAATGAATGAATAACTGAATAAGCAAATGATTGATAAATGATGGACTAACATATATTAATATATATATATAAAGGCGCCGAGTGAATGAATTAATTGAATGAACAGACGGATGAATTTTTTACATCTTTGTAGAAGGAGAATGAGTAGGGAAGGGAGCTGAATCTGATAGCCGTGTCGTTCACCGAGCATTGTATCACGAGACCTGTGCTAGGAGCTTCATGAGCAGTTTTTCACTTAATGCTCATAGTAACCTTTGGAGTATTATTATCATCATTTTTTTAAGTGGGGAGTTAGGTCTGGAGATGGGAGGGAACTTGTTCAAGGACACACGGGGCAGAGCTGGAATTTCAACCCCGCCGCTGGCTGTGCTCCCGGGCTGACTCTTCCCTCCTCAGTCAGGGCTGGCTGAACACTTCATTCATTCCAGGACCTGGTTTTTGCAAATACAGGTGAAACCCACTTACATTATCTCTGGAAAGCTGTACATTTGAACAGTTAAGTACTTATCGCAGCTCATTAGTTCAGGAAAGCTTTTCCATTGTGTGCCCCTTCATGAGTGAAGGATTACCCTGACTCATCTGCTTCCTAAATCTAAATTTTGTTCAAAGCAAGGCACATATTAACTACTTGTAGGGGTGGGGTTAATTATTGCTGGGAGTCTGGGACTTTTGATGTTTGGACATCTAGTGACTAGGCCCTTAATTTTGTGACACCTCATCTTAATAGTTTAAAAAAAGTAAATGAAAATTTATCATCTTCAGGATAAAAAAACACTGCAAGCAAAGTCCAATTATAAACCACAAGCTCAGAAAAATACATTGCTAATTCCTACCATAGACCAAAGGCTGTCTTTATACAAAACTGTCATTAATCAGCAAGAAAAATGTCTATAATCCAATAGCAAATGGGCAAAAGATATTCACAGAAAAGGAAACATAAATGACTCTTAAATGTATGAAAAATGCTCTCCACTATTCATAATAAAATATGTAAATGAAAAGCATTCTGAGAGACTAATTTTTCATCTATTAGATTGGAAAAGATTTAAAAAAAAAGATACACACAGTCCTGGACAAGGGTTAAAGGTGACTGAACTCTCACACTTTGTTTTGGGGAAATAAACTTCTAAGGATGGACATTCAGCAAAATCTGTATGAACCACCACCACATGTGCACCTGCATGTGTGAAAAATTATGTGTGTCGGGGGTTACCATGGGAGCATGGTTTATGAGCAAACGATGGAAACGACCTTAATGTTCATCGATAGGGCACTGGAGAGCACATTCTATTCATTTATATGGTGGGCTGCCTGCCACGGCTGGAGGTCCAGCTGTGTGCTGACACATTTGCCCCCAGCTGCATGTGGCTCTTTGAACCGTGGCTGGTTCTGATTGAGATGCGCTTGAAGGGGACAGTGCATATCGGATTTTGAAGATTGGGCACAAAAAAAGGGATGTGCACTATCTTACCATAATGTTTTATATAGACTTCCCATCCATGATAATATTTCAGATATACTGGTTTCACTGAAAAGTATTGTTAACGTTAATTTCAGGTGTTCCTTTTAACCCTTTTAATGTGGCTCCTGGAAGATAGAAAAGTACGCGTGCGGCTTGCCCTGCCTTTGACTGGACGGGCTCTGAATAAACCAATAAAGTGAAAAGGGCAAGGGGCCTTAGAGTGTCTGGTACACTACCCTTTGTGCTTTAAAGAAAGGAAAAGAGCACTCTGAGATATTTGCTTTTTCACACAGTGTATTTCTGGAACAGTGTCCTAGAAGCAATATTGGCTGCTTCTGGAGAGAGAAACCTGCAGACAGGAAGCGGGGGCTGAAATCTGAACCCCGAATCCTTTTGTAAATTGCTGAACCAAAGTTTACAAGCATTTAAAATAATATATTATTATTTAGGTATCATCTGTGTGTATGATATGTATCATGCACCTACAAGATACGTTCTTTAGTCAAAAGTAGTTTTAAAAATGTTTAACGGGACAAAAATATTCACAGAAAGACCAGGAAAATGCACGTGTGTATAGGCACGGACGAAGATGAAAATCGCAGAAAGAAACGCTGGCAGAGAAGCAGTGAGGAGAATGTGTTAGGGACAGAACAAAACCTGCTCTATTTTTACTCTGTAGCATTTGACTCTTTTGTAAAAAGAATGTTTAACTTATATAAGTCAGTCTAAGGAGGAAAAAAAAAAACCTGGATTAGAAAGAAATATACCAAAATGTTCGCAATAGCTATCTTTAGATAATAAGATTACAGGTAATTTTTTCTTCTTTTTACTTTAAGTTTTTCCCAATTCTTCTAAGTTTTCTCAGCCTATAAATAAGACTTACTTTGGTAATGGAGTCACCAACAAACCTTCTTATCACTGTAGTTTCTTTAAAAATACTTTTAAAGATTCTATTAACCTTTAAAAAATTTTAAATTGTCTTCATTGCTTTTTAAAATGATAGCAAGTAATGCAGACTCCTTATAAAATGTCAAACAACGAAGATATAATGCTGCAAGGAAAGTATCTCCTAATTCCATTTCTTCTGCAAGATACTCGCTATTCTCTGAAGCTTTTAAAGTACTGCATTTATATTAAGAACTTAAAAAACATTTCAAATTAAATGGAGAGGCTGAGAAATGGGAGCTGCTTGCTTTGTGCCAAGCATGGCCCTAAGTGCTTTAAGTGTGCCATTTCACCGAATCTCCCCAGCAGCTCTCTGGGGTAAATGTTTTGCCCCAGTAACTCCAAGTCAGGGCCCTGAGAGTTCAGGCAATTTTCCCAAGGCCATACTCTAGTGAAGGTCAGGGTTGGCATTCAAATCCAACTCCAGGTGATGTCCAAGCCACTGCCTTGGGGGACTGCCATTATGGTGGGTGGGGCTGGAATGATTATAAAGCAGAGACTGGACTTGAACTCACTTCTGGTGGCTCCCTGGTCCAGTGCTCTCGGGCGGTTGAAACAGGATTTTTGGTTTAGGTGATTAAGTGTAGCGCTCACGATAGGCGGAGAAGAAAACGGTACTAGTGGAGCTGGAGCACAGCCGACGTTGGGGGGCATTTCATACCGGGTTGCCAGGGGTACAGCGATAAAGTGAAACCGGAAGTCTGGGAGGGAAGCAGCCAGCCCCCGCACTCCAAAGGGTTAAAGTCGGGCAGGAAAGCCCCTGGGGGAAGATACCACTGAAGGCTTCAGTCCCTAGGCTTTTACCTCCCCCACCGGCGGGGACCAGACCGGGAGATAGGACTGGTTCCTGCAGGATTATCTGAGGCCCCTGGGTTGAGGTGAGCTTTGGGCACAGAAGCCCCAGGGACTGCATGTCCACCCATCTTCATCTGGGGCTCAGAAAGCCAGGTGCCCTGGGATAGGCGCCGGGCCTCTGGCTGCAGCAGCAGCTCTGGCCCGGGCACACTTTGAGAGTAAGACGTGCCCAGCCTGGGGATGATGCTCAGAGAGGTGGGGAGGGAGGCCCTGAAGAATGTGGAGCTCGCACCAAAGGAAGGGCATGCGTTCTCCAGACTCCCCGTCTTGCAGGGCCTGGGATGTGGCAGCTGCCTTGGGAAGAGATGCATCTTGGCGGTTCAGAGAGCCCCAAAGCATCTAACCAATCATCCCAGGCCAGTATCTGGGCTCCAGCTTTGCTCCTTCCCCACCCCCACCCCCCAGTTAGCTTGGCCACGAATTTTCTTTCCTTAGGTCTTCCTATCTAAACCTTCTCCTCCCTTCCCCTCCCCCGCCAAACTCTTTGGAAATCTTTAAACACTTTCAAGTTTTTCCTGGGCAGTTTGAGGTTGGTTTCAGAGCTAAGTCAGGGCGCTTTAACACCCCAGCTGGGTAGGGTGGATGGGACAATAGCCGCTATCACTTTACCATTGGAAGTGACCCCCGAATTTGCACTTCTTTCATCTTGGGACCCGAGCACTTGAGGGTAGGCGATTTCCTTGGGGGGAGTGGCTTAAGCAGATTCTCCCCGGGCCAGTTGGCTGTAGACGGTCCGTGCTCAGTGGGCAAATCTGAAACCAGTTCTGGAGTGAGAGTGCCTTTCAGCTGGGGACGCTGCCGGCTGGGTGAGTTAAATGTCCCAAGCTGGAAGGTGGAGAGAGAAGTGGACGCCCCCAGGGCTCTGGGCCATCTTGAGGTCAGTAATCTAGAAAGGTAACTCAACATTAGGAAGGGTGGGTGACTGTACAGCCCGGCGACCCCAGGGAATGGGGGCTGGCTCGGGACACTGACGGGCCCAAGGATGGAGGAATGACTCTGTGAAGATGCTGTAAAGCCTGGATTGTGCGTGCGCTCGGGCTGAGAGGGGAGGTGAGGCATTGTTTCACTTTTTTTTCCATCCCCACCCGCACCTCCAACTCCATCCCCACCCCAACCCGCCTCCCTCTCTGCCTACCTCTCTTCTCCACCCTACAAAATGGTGTGGCCTCGACCCCTCCCATAGCTTCTTGGGTTGGGTCTTTCATTCCAGATGCCCAGGCCAACCAGCTCTCTCCCCAGCCACCCATGGCCCCCTGGCACACCCACCGGCAACCGGTTGCCTGCGGGTTCCCTTAGTGGGCTGCACTACCCCTACCTTTCCAGACTTGTGGTCCACTAGAGCAACTGACCTTGGGAACTCCCAGGCTGAATTGCCAGCTTCAGGGCCTATACGGAGCTCCCAGGTACTCCTGCTGCGTTTGGTGGTGAGAAGTTTTTGGGAAGTCACACCCCACAGGCTGCTTGCCACCAGGGAGCCCCTGTGCCCCTAACTTTGGGGCCTTCTGGCCACTGGGGAGGGAGCCAAAACAGGATGGCTGGCACTCTCTTGAACCAGTGGCCAGTGGCACAGCTGGGCAGGTGTACAGTTGGCCAGTGTGATGGGGAAGAAGGGGAGAGTGCTGGTTAATCCCTGTCTCACCGAGGGCTGAGGCCTCTGGGGCCCTCCCTCCATGCTTGTTGGGCCTGGTTGACGATAGAGACAGCAGGACCTGCTTTATGAGGTGTGAGAGAAAGGGTGGGATTGGGGAGAACGGGGGTCTGAGGCCCCATCTGCTTGAAATAAGGAGACTGGGAGAGGAAGAAAGCTGGCCTCGGTAAAGGTGAGGCTTTGAATCTCCTGCAGAGGTGCCCACGTCTTCACTCCTTCCCTGGCTCCAGAGCCCTTCCCGGACACTCTCAGGGCTTCCCCCCTGTTTTATTCCCTTCCAACCTGAAGCCAGAGGAGCCTGTGGAATCTGAGGGCGCCTCGCCTCCTTGGTTTCTCTCCTTTTCAGATCCCTTCTAAGAGCTGCCAGGGGAGGCCAGCTGAGCAAAGCCCGAGGTTAGCTCTTGGTTTCTGCACCTAATTCATGAATGCACCTGACAGTCGCCAGACTGCCCTGCATTGCACTGCCAGGAAACCGCTGCTGAACAAGGCTCGCACCTGAACCCCATCAGCCAGTCGTCTACTTAGGGATGATTGGCTGCCCTGTTAGGGCCGACGGCCTTCCCCCACTACCCCATCCTCTGGTGGTGCAGACCCTCCGGAGTGCACGTGGCATGCAGAGCCAGGGAGCTCCTTTTTCCTTTTGAGGAAACAGAAGTGGGTTGTTGCGTACTCTCAAGTCCTCACCCCTCTTTGGGGAGGGGAGGGAATGAGATAGGGCGGAGAGGGTGGGACTGGGTCTGGTCTGCTTCTGGGCCGGAGGTGGGGTGGGACAGGAGAGGGTGGGGAGGGTGCCGCTCGTTCAGGAGGAAGTGTGGCATAGCTGGACATTCTGGCAGACGGTATCTGGATACTGTTGTGTGAATTCAGGTAAGTCTATTTTATGTTTCTGGACCTCAGTTTCCTTAAAATGGCCTTGTTTGTCTCAAAGCTCCAAGAACCCATGTGTCTCAGGGTCCTTTGGATGATGCGCATTTTGGGTGATGTATCCCCTGGGTGGTGGAGGCCAGGGGTTGGCAGGGGAGCTCTGGGGTCGGATTGCCTAGGGTTTTTGTCATTTTCATAGCTGTGGTCTTGGGGAAGTTAATTAATTTAACCCTAAGCCTCTGTTTCCCCAGCTGTGACCTGGGAAAATCCGTCCTGGCAGGGGTTGCAGGTGTGATGGAGGTGTAGTTCCCATGGAGGAAGCGGGAGAACCACATTGTGCGTAAACAAAACGACCTCTGGGATGCCCGAGATCCAAACGCTCGCTCACCCCGTGGAAAGCCCACGGGAGCTCGTGGCCACACAGGGGACGCTGTGCTCTGCTCAGAAAATAGGCTGGAGCAGGGCAGAAAGAAGCACTCACGCAAGTGGAATGAATCATCCCCTCTTATTCTCTCTGAGATTTTGGTTGAGCCACCTCAGTTAAATGCACAGAGTAAGCACCAGGTAGGCAGTGGCTATTTTCATAATTTTGTTTGCACAGCAGCTAGCGGCACGCTCATTTGCATGCAGCTGCTGGGCAGCATTCCACAAGCGGCATGCAAGCCCCGCCCCCAGCCCCAGCATCTCTGTTTGTCAGCGTGAAAGAGCTGTTCTGTGTGTACAGTGTGCTTCTCCAGAGCTCCTGTGTTCTCGTTGCACATGGAAATAGTCTCTTCCATAAGAACCTACAGGAAGTCTGTCCTCTAGTTTTCCGAAGAAAACCAATTGTTTTTTGAAAAGTAGATCTAAAGTACATAAAAGATGAACAGAGTAAGAGCCCAAATCCAGGGCCAAATAATATAGTCCGGAAACAGATTTGGTGAGAGACGAGACCAGATTTGTCACAATATACATGTTTTTAAAAAATCTACCGCTGAGAAATTCTAGCCAAAGGTGTTCCCGGTCACCAGTTTTTTAAAAAGTGTTCTTTTGAATGATTATCAAGTCAAATCCTGCTCATGCTCTTTTGACGCTTTAAAAAGCTTTTTTTCCCTACTTTACTGAACCATAACGTATACCCAAGCACAGTCTTTTTCAGTGTGAGTTTTGATTAGTTGACAAATGGATAAACCTAAACACAATTTTTAAGTTGAAGACTAATCTAAAGCTGTGTATTGAACTCTATGTCATCTATGAGAACAAAGATCTGAGAAAGGATAATGGTTTCCTTTTAATTTTAAAAACAGTGTCCATCCAGGAATATTGCTTTGCTTTGCAAGACAATCCTGAAAATGTTCCAATAAATGGAATGACTGGTTTGTGTTGGAAAGGTGGCTGGCAGCGTCACTGAGGGATCACGGGCCCTCGGGAGCATTTGGTGGCACCGTGTGTGTGTGTGTGTGTGTGTGTGTGTGTCCTGGGGCAAACTGGGCGAAGTAGGCTGATATCGATCGTCTAGGTTTCCTCACCTGTAAACTGGGGGTGACGGTATTGCCTTCAAGTGTGGCTGTCAGGATTCAGACAGTGGGTGACAAACGCTCAGTGAATCTCAGATGTGGGATCTGTGTCGGCACAGTGTGACACGCTGTGATGGGACCGACTGGCTTTCTTCCAGGGCTGCAGTTCTCAAACTCCATGGTCTCAGGACCTCTGTGGGCTCTTAAGAATTGAGGACCACCCCAAGAGATTTTGTTCATAGAGGTTGCATTTGATCATATTGCGTTTTGATCCGGTTGCGTTTGATCCGTGTTGATCGTATTCAAAATGAAAACTGAGACATTTATAAAATATTTATTAGGAAATAACAAACTTGTAGCCCTGGCTGGCGTAGCTCAGTGGATTGAGCGCGGGTTGTGAACCAAAGTGTCGCAGGTTCGATTCCCAATCAGGGTACATGCCTGGGTTGCAGGCCATGACCCCCAGCAACTGTACATTGATGTTTCTCTCTCTCTCTCTCTCTTTTTCTCCCTCCCTTCCCTCTCTAAAAATAAATAAATAAAATCTTAAAAAAAAGAAATAACAAACTTGTTACATAGGAACAATTAATAGTCCTTATGAAAAATAACTTTTCCAGGAAAAAAAATAGTGAGAAAGTGCTTTCTTTTACATTTCTCCAAATCTCTCATGTCTGGGTTAATAGACGATGAGCACATTCTCATATTTGTCTGTGTTCACTCTGTGTGATGCATTGTTTTGGCAGAAGTGTCTGAAGAAAACCCCATTTCATCTAGACACATAGATGAAAAGAGGAAGGGTATCTTGATAGCCTTTTCAGTGGATATTCTTTGATAACTATACCCAAACTTGATGTGTCATTTCTCAAAGTTTAGTTATAATGTAGAATCTGAAACAACACCCATTTTCGTACCGTACTATATTAAAATCTATTGCTTTCTTTTATACTTTGATGGGATCTTTTACCAATTGAAATGCATAACTTTGCTACAGCACCCATGGGTTATTTGGGAAATATAATTCATTGGGTGATACAGAGCTTCACATGTTGGCAATTCCATTGTGTAGCACAAAAAGTTAAATTTATCGTGTCACCGCTGGTTCCTTCGGAGAAGCCTTTAGGTGTGGGGAAGCTGTCGAGCTCCCTGGAGTGGATACAGGTTTTCCTAAATTTTAATTTTCAAGTGAGAACTCAACATTTCACTGGCAACAAATGGCAGTTCACCTTATTCACTACTGAACAAACGTGTACTAAATATACTCAAGTCCGAATGACGAATGTCTCTCAGCCTTCCCTTGAAGGGTACACAATGGTGTTCCGTGATAACAAGTGGCCAGTCCATCACGCACCCCCACAGTTGTCCTGTGAGGCCTTCGTCTGCTTCAGCGTGAGCAGAATGTCCCTCCCAATAGTGAGAAGTCGTGTTTTTCAGGGCTGTAATTTAAGACAAATCTCTGCTGGGCTTCCTCAAGGACACTGAGTGTAATTACAATAGCTTTTTGTTTTTCCTTATCTGCCATTGCACGGTGGTAAAGAACACGATGACTTCCAGTACGGTTCGACTCACGCCAAGGTACCACGGTTTTACCCAAGCGTTTATACAACAGAAAAGGCAAATATCCTAGTGTCAGCTTAGTATAGTTTAGTGTTACAAGGAAACAGCTTAACTTGCAGACCCCCAGAAAGAGTCCCAGGCATCCCAAGGGTACTGGGACCATACTTTGAGAATCATTGTAACCGGGGAAAGACAGTCCAGTTTTGCCTTTACCAGGTGCGGAGGCACAGCTCTTCCAGCTGGCCTGTCTAATACGTACAGTGCGAGGTAATACTCATGTGCAATGGCTAACTCTTCTGTAGAGCTTCACTATGTGTCGGCAACTATTCCAAGGATGGATATGTAAGCGTGTGTGTATATCTGTGTGTCTCCATCCTTTTCTTTCATTGTTTCACTTATACCTGCAACAACCCCGTAAGGCAGATACTTTTTTATAGTCCCCTTTATCACAGAGGAGGAACTAGAAGCCGAGCGAGGTTAAGTGACTTGCTCGAGCTAGTATCAGAACGGAGGAGACCAAACTCTTGGTGCCCCTGAGGGACTGAATAAACCCAGGAGACACTTGGCCATCGTCGCAATGAGGAAATGGGAGTGGTGGACATCGTCTCAAGGGAGAAGGTGCAGGAGTGGATAGGGCAGGCACCACTGCTGGGTGTCATCGGGGATCCTCGTCCTGACCTCTGCTCTCTGTCCTTTGCCCTGGCAGGATGACACCTCGGGAGCAGCTGATTCAGCAGGTGCTGCAGGAGCTGCAGGAGGCAGTGGAGTCCGAGGGCCTGGAGGGTCTTGTCGGTGCTGCTCTGGAGGCCAAGCAGGTCCTGTCCTCCTTCACTCTCCCCACCTGCCGGGAGAAAGGCCCCAGCCGCCAGGTGCTGGAGGTGGACTCGGTGGCCCTGAGCCTGTACCCAGAGGATGCTCCCCGGAACATGCTGCCGCTGGTGTGCAAGGGCGAGGGCAGCCTGCTGTTCGAGGCGGCCAGCACGCTGCTGTGGGGGGACGCAGGACTCAGCCTGGAGCTGCGGGCCCGCACCGTGGTGGAGATGCTGCTGCACAGACACTACTACTTGCAGGGCATGATCGACTCCAAGGTGATGCTGCAGGCCGTGCGCTACTCCCTCTGCTCGGAGGAGTCCCCCGAGATGACCAGCCTGCCATCCGCCACGCTGGAGGCCATCTTCGACGCGGACGTCAAGGCCACCTGCTTCCCGAGCAGCTTCTCCAATGTGTGGCACTTGTACGCCCTCGCCTCCATCCTTCAGCGCAACATCTACTCCATCTACCCCATGCGCAACCTCAAGATCCGGCCCTACTTTAACCGCATCATCCGGCCCCGCCGCTGTGACCACATGCCGGCCACGCTGCACATCATGTGGGCCGGCCAGCCCCTCACCAGCCATCTCTTCCGCCACCAGTACTTTGCCCCTGTGGTGGGACTGGAGGAGGTGGAAGCTGAAGATGCCACCAGCCTGGCCCCGGCTTCCCTGGCCCCAGCTGCTCTGCCACCGACGGCCAAGACTCCGGAGCTGTTCAACCAGGACCCTGGCCGCAGCTACTCTCACCTCTGCGAACGCTACAGTGTCACCAGGAACACCTTCTACCGCTGGCGGCGGCAGTCCCAGGAGCACCAGCAGAAGGTGGCCACCCTCTACTCGGCCAAGCACGTCCTGCAGGAGAGCGTCCGCCGTGGGGGCATCATGTCGCTGCAGCAGTTTCTCCAGAGGTTCCCCGAGATCTCCCGTTCCACTTATTATGCCTGGAAGAACGAGCTGCTGGGCACTGGCGCTGGCCAGCCCCTGACCCCCAAGGAGGGGACAGAGGACCTGGAGCAGCTGGAGAAGCTGCCGGAGGAGCAGGTTACCAAGGGGCTGGGATGCTCCATGCTGGCTGAGGCAAGCCCCGCGGTGGTCCTCATGCAGCGGGCCAAGCTGTACCTGGAGCACTGCATCTCCCTGAACACACTGGTGCCCTATCGCTGCTTCAAACGCAGGTTCCCCAGCATCTCCCGGTCCACCTACTACAACTGGCGCCGTAAGGCCCTTCGGAGGAACCCTAGCTTCAAGCCAGCCCCAGCCCTCTCCGTGGCCCCAGCTCCCCAGCTGGCATCTGTTGGGGAAGAGGCCCTGCTCCCTGAAAAGAGTGAGGCGGGAGAGGAGGGGACAGGGAAAACCACAGATGGGGGACCACCCGCCCCCCGGCAGTTCGTACCCCCGAGGATGCCCCTGTCCCGCTGGCAGAGGCGACTGCGCAGGGCCGCCCGCAAGCAGGTGCTCAGTGGGCACCTCCCCTTTTGTCGGTTTCGCCTCCGCTACCCCAGTCTGTCCCCCTCCGCCTTTTGGGTCTGGAAGAGTCTTGCCCGGGGCTGGCCTAGAAGCCTTTCCGGACTCCAGATGCAAGCCCCTGCCTTGGGCAAAGGTGGGGTCCAGGAGGCTGAAGGGAAGCGAGAGAAAGAAGCTGGCAAGAATGTGATAGTTTCCGTGGCTCTAGCCGCTGGGGCCCCAAAGATGGCAGCTTCTCCAGGAGAGGATCCAGAGAAGGCCCAGGGAGGGCCTTCCAGAGAGAAGGTTCTGCAACAGGGGGCCACAGCCCAGGGAAGGCCCCCCAGTGGATCCTGGTCCAGCCCCTCTGTGGCCAAAGCAGTGGCAGCGGGCAGTAGGGACAGCCAGGTACTTATGATGGACATGCTCGCTTCCACCAAGTTCAAGGCTCAGGCCAAGCTGTTTTTGCAGAAGTGCTTCCAGTCCAAGAGCTTTCCTTCCTACAAGGAGTTCAGCGCTCTCTTCCCGCTGACGGCCCGCTCCACCTACTACATGTGGAAGCGGGCCCTGTATGATGGCCTCACCCTGGTTGATGGCTGACAGGGCAGTGCGGAGGGGCTGGGAGCACGGGGGATCATTTTGGAGAGGGTCAGGGACCCGCATTGCCCCCTGGCCTGGCCAGGCCAGGACGCCCTTTGCTCCAGTTTGCATGGCGTCCGCCCTGAACCCAGAGGCACTGTGTCTTGTGCTGTGTCTTGGCTCCAGGGCAGAGCGAGCCGAAACCAGCCATCTGGTCTGCTGCGGAGAGTCACAGTTGTTTGCCCGTCTTATTTTTATTGTGTATGGATTTTAGTTTTTTGTTTTGATTGAAGTGGGTTGGCTGGGCCCACTTGCTGGTGCTGGAAGCTGTATGTGTGGGGGAGGGGGCTGGAGGGGGGTTGGTTAGCTAAAGCTGCTTTCTGTTTTTCCCCGGGACAAAAGGAGTATTATTATAGCATGGCCATCTGTCCCATTGGGCAGAATATATATCTTCAGTTCCTTTTGGGGTTTGGCATTCTCCTTGCTCAAATGTATTTCCCTAAGGAGCATAAGAAATCAAATGTGGAGCGGGTCAGTGGCTTCTGGTTGGCACCCGCCAAGGAAAAGGGAGTCAGGCCCAGCGTGAGCAGAAGCAGGGGGTACAGGAAGAACCAAGGGCCTCTGAGGGAAGGTCCTGAGCCGGATCGCTGAAGGCTGGCCTGCTCCTTGCCTTCAGTGTGGAGTGTGGGTGAGGTGGGGGTGAGGGGAGGGCTCGCTAGTCTCCGCTTGCTGCTGCTGCTGGGCCCTCCTGCCGTCCTCTGCCAGTCTGGCTCACCCTTGGGGACGAGACCTGTCTTCTGCTGAGTCCTCAGAGCCTGTGCCCCATCGTCTGAGGCACCGCACAGTGGGCATCCAGGTGAGAGACTGACTTTTCATTGTCTGAGGATGAAGCTGGAAAAACAAAGAAATAAAATGACGTGGTGCCCATAGCCCTTGGTCTCTGGTGTTTGTTCTGCCAGGATAAAGCTGCCCATTCCCACATTCTCCTTGGGTTCCAGTGGGTGGAGAGTAATCTCTGTCTTCCTGGAACAATCCTAGGTCCAGGGCTTGGGGCATGAAGGGGCTTCTTCTGGGGATTCTATTTAGGATTGGATTTAAACGTGACCTTGGGTGTTCTTCCAGCTGGGGGTGAGGCTGGGACTGCCTGGGAACTCGCCTCCCACCGATGGGAGAAAACCGGCCAAGTGTGCTCAGGAGCCAGGCCGCCACACAAGGTCGAGCCTGCCACGCACCCCGGCAGGCTGGGCCCAGTCTCAGATAAGGAAACTGAGCCTTGGCATGTTTAGTTGGCAGGCTGCTCCCTCCTGAGGGGCTGAGCTTTCAGGCCAGGCCTTTGCTGTTGGGGATGGGGCGTCACTGGGGAAGAAGTTCCCTTACGATCTTTCTCCTCCTGTCTAGTTTTCCTGCAGCGGCTGTCATCCTTGTGGTGGATTTGGGGAGGCATCCTTGGTCCTACTAGTTTTTCGCCTCCACATCCAATCCAGCAGATCCTGTTGCCTCTGACTCCAAAATATGCCCAGAATCCCCACCCTCACGCTGCCGCCATCATCTTCTCGGCTTCCTACCAGCCTTCCCGCTTTCTCTCTCACCCCACACTATGCTTCCCCACAGAGTGGCGCGAGATCTTCAAACAAAATCTGATTCTGTCCCTTTCCTGTCTAAAGTGTTGAGTGCCTTACCTCCGCTCAGAATTCTTTGCACTGCCGTGTAGGCCTTCAGAATCTGGCCCTGACTCTCCCCAGCCTTCTCTTGTCTCACTCTTGCCCTTCACCACCACACTGGCTGCCTCTGACCTTGAACGTGGTCCACTTGAAGTGCCTTTGCATTTGTTCCTTTGGTCTAGAATGCTCTTCCCTGTCATCTTTACGTGGCAGGCTCCTTACCACTCAGGTCTCCCAGAGTCGCTATATCACGGACACTTTATTCCTCCCCATCCGATGTTTTCCTGCCTGTGTGCCTGTCCCCTGTCCCCCTCCTGCCCATTAGAACCAGGAGAAGCGGGGCTTTTTCCTGACTCACTTTCACCACTGTGTTCCCAGCAGGTAAGTTAGCTCCTGCCACGTCGTAGGTGTTCCGACTTGTTTCAAGGAAGGACTGAAATGGGGCCACTGTGATTTCCTGCCGTTATCCTTTGGGCTGTGGTCTTACCACACCCAACCAATCCTACTTTCTCAGTATTCCTCACAGACCACTTTTCTCCACGCAGCCCCCCCTTAACCTAGCTGCTCTCATCTCTGGTCATGAGCGGTTTTCAGATCGACTCTGCTTCTCCTCAAACTCTCCCATTCATCCTCCTGGCAGAGGCCAGGGTGTTCTAATAAAGCAAATCTCTCAGCACGAAATCCAGACTAGCGAGGCCCACCACCAGCCTGGCCCTGCCTACCTATGTCTCAGGCTTATTTTCCCCCACGGACCCCTCACTCACCCACACTGACTTTCCCCCCACTTACTTTTTCTTTCCCACCATGCTAAACAAGTATTGTCCTTGCTTGTCCTTCACACACTGGGAGGTCTCCACTGAACCCCCAAGTGAGTGATGTTGCCTTGTAGTCCTTCAACATTTGGTGAAGGGATGGGAGTGATACTCCTGCCCAGCTGGCAAGGCCACCTGTAGCCAGCAGGTGGCAATCTGGTGCAGCAAGACACAGCGGTTTCCCAGCAGGGCAGCCCTAGCTAGTCAACCCCCAGTCTACCCGCTTCCCCGTCAGAGGGTGGCAGCAAGCCTGCTCCTGAGATCTGCCCTGCGTGTTTCTCTGTCTGTTCCCGTCCCTGCTCTCCGAACCAAAGCAGGTCTGACGTCAGGAACAGTGCTTTCAGAACAGTCCAAAAACCACCCGGAGCCCCCCGGCCTGGTGGCTGGGTTGGGGTGTTGTCCCGAGCACCAAAAAGCTGCAGGTTTGATTCCAGGTCGGGGAGTTTATGGGAGGCAACCAATTGATGTTTTGCTCTCACATTGCTGTTTCTCCCTTTCCCCCTTCCTCTCTCTTTAAAAACCAGTAAACATGCGCTTCGATAACTTTTTAGAATAAGTAAATAAAAAGCACCTGGACCAAAGTCCCTCCTGGAGCTTGTTATTCGTGTGGATTTGGGGCCCCACCCAGATGTGATTCTCACCTGAGACAGTGGAGAGGCAGTACACACACGTGGTGAGTCCCTTAGCCTTGCTTTCTCCATCTGTAAAGTGGGGATTGCAGTAATGCTTACAGTACAGGACCTTGCTCATGGAAGTGCTAGATGGGCCTTTGCTATTGGTAATGATGGTACCTAGTTTGAGAACCCCTGCGCACCCAACCCTGGATTTCTAGGAGGAAGCAAGCTAATGCCCCAGGAGACTCTTGCTCAGGATGGGCCACCCTCCAGATCAAAGATGCTGCTGTCTTGAGACCAGAAGGCCCTGTTGTCAAGAGGCCTGCACCGAGTCCCAAACCCACAGGGAGATAGAGTTCAGCACCTGTTGGAGAAAGTTAAGATCAAAATGACATGTCAATATTGATTTGGAAAGTCTTTTGTAAGTTGGTTAAATTATTCATTAATAGAAAAGCAGGATTTTCCCTGGCTGGTGTGGCTCAGTGGAGCAAAGGGTCCATTGAATGCCGGCTCGAGAAGCAAAGGGTCGCTGGTTTGATTCCCAGTCAGGGCACATGCCTGGGTTGCAGGCCAGGTCCCCAGGGCGGGGGTGAGGGGGGCACAAGAGTCAAGCACACAGTGATGTTTCTCCTTCTCTTCCTCCCTTCCCTTCTCTCAAAATAAGTAAAATCTTAAAAAGAAAAGGTTTTTAATAATTTGCTTAGAAAGAGAAATACCTAAGCCGTGACCATATTTGCTAAGAATATTTCATGCTGATTTTGGAGGTAACATTTGTTGAACTTATTAGTATTTTTTTTGGTACCAACTTCTCTCTTAGACGCACATATAGAATTCATTGAAATGAGCAATGAATAAAGGGAGAAAACAATATGTAAAGTTAGCTTTACATCCCCCAACCTTTTGTGTTGTAAAGTTATAACTGGTTCTAAAAATTTTCATTTATTTACAGGGAGAGAGAAAGAAGGAGAGTAACATTGATCAGTTGCCTCTCATATGAGCCCCAGCTGGGGACTGAACCCGCAACCTAGGCGTGCGCCCTGACTGGAATCGAACTGGTGAATCTTTCTTTGCAGGATGATGCCCAATCAACTGAGCCACACCGGCCAGGATGTGGTTCTAAAAACTGTGAACATAAAACACCCTCAAAAAGCAATCAAGTGAAATATGAATCATTGAAACAACGTGTAGCCCTGGCTGGTGTGGCTCAGTGGATTGAGTGCTGGCCTGTGAACCAAAGGGTCGCCGGTTTGACTCCCAGTCAGGGCACACGCCTGGGTTGCAGGCCAGGTCCCCAGGAGGGGGCACGTGAGAGGCAACCACACACTGATGTTTCTCTTTCTCCCTCCCTTCCCCTCTCTAAAAATAAATAAAGCCTTAAAAAAAGCTAACAACAAAAAAACAATGTGTATGTATGTATCCCCTGGGCGCAGGGGCCTGTGTTTGGCGGAGGTTGTCTTGTCTGCATAACGCACGAGGTTGCTCCTTGACTGTTTCTCCGGAATCTGGCACTCCGGCCTCTCAGTGGCTCTTCGGCCCCAGGCATCCCCTCATATCTCAACTGACCCTTCACAGGACAGATGTTCTATTAGCACCTCAGACTCACATCTGGCGATCGGCTCATTCTCCTGTTCCCCACCAACTCCCTCCTTTCTGTTTTTCTCCCTGGCTGCTGCCAGCATTAGGTTATCAGCTGAACTGGCTGAAAAGAGGGGCGTCATCCTGGAACTTTCTCTCTTCCACATCTCCATGCACATCTCCAATGTTAGGAACATCGCAGGTTTCATAAGGTCCCACACTGCTGGGCCATCACAAGAAGAGAATTCGGTTGGTCCAGGCCGCCACCGTACCCCCACCCCCATCCTCAGAGCATGCATAGCTCTCAAGCCAGGTCATGACTGAGGCCGCCACTCTCCTGCCCAAGTCTGGTCCAGTCTGGCTGGGGCTCTGGAGCAGCTTTGCTCACACAGGGAGGGGACTGGCAGATGTAATAGGCCCCTCTCCAGCAGCCCCGGGTGGGCTGAGCCCTGTGCCGTGAGCTGAGGATACAGAGCCATTTGGCCCCGACTGTTGTCCTCACAAAGGCCTCGGTTCACTGGCAGCTGTGGTCTGACACAGCGTGGCCGGGCTTCCGTGTGGAATGCACAAAAAGCAC